TTAATTAGATAATCGTTATTTTACTAAAATTCATTGATCACAGGAAATAGTAGCAATTATGGACACTTTTGTAAGAATTTTATATGACTTTTTAAAGTTTCCTGTTTGTGACAAATATTTCGTTATAAATACACGAAAATGTTACGTTTTCAGCACGGAAATGCTCCAGACTAATTTCGCAAATGTTTTTGATATCAAATGTAAAAAAATTTCTTGTAAAATTGCTAACTTTATTAAAAAAGTAGTAAATTGTTAAAAATATAGATTTGTCATAAAAGAACCGTTACTACTTTGTTATACTGTCATTTGTTTTCTCTTAAGTTTACATAAGTTCTAATTTGATAATCGTATTCTAAAGATTATCAAAATTCACTGTATTACTATAAAATAAGTGAAATAATAAAATTTGCAAACAAAGAACAGAAAGAAATTGTTGAAATTATGAATGAACAAATTATTATTATTGGTACAATTTTTGTTACGTCCGTTTGTTTTTTTGTAACTGCGTTTCTCAATTTCCATATTTAGCGCATTTTGCAATTTTTTTTTATTGATATTAATTGGCTTATTTGCATAATGCAAGGCTAGAGAGATTGAACAGACGAAAGAAAAAAAAAAACAAAACGAAAAAAAAAGACAGACACACGAAATTAAACTTTCCCAAACTTGTAGATTTGCAAGGTAAAACGATTAATTCACATTTTATATGTATAATAAAAACAAAACTGATGTAATATAATTGCAAAATGACAATTGTCTATTTTTGTGTAATAATAATTAAAAATGTTAATGTTTTTTTTTTGTATTTATTTTGAAGATTTCTTAACTTTCGTCTGTAGTTTTAAGCGATTTTTTGAAATTCTTTAATTATTTAAATATGTTTGAACACAAATCTTCAGAGAATAAAATGAGTGTATAGGTATAATTGTAACTTATCTGGATTTCTTGTAATTCGAGGTCAAAGTTGAAGATGTAATAAAGAAAGCTTTGAGAAAGTTGTGTCATTAGTTTTTCATAATCTATGCATCACAGTTATATGATTTAATACATAAAATAAACCCAAATGTCCAGGGAATAAAATGAGTCTATTATCATAATTGTAACTCTTCTGGATTTCTTGTAATTTGAGGTCAAAGTGGAAAATGTAATAAAGTTAGCTTTGAAAAAGTAGTCTCTGTAGTTTTTAGTGATTTTCTCATAATCTATGCAAGACAGTTATATGATTTAATACATAAATTAAACCCAAATATTCAGAGAATAAAATGAGTTTATTATCATAATTGTAGCTCTTTTATATTTCTTCTAATTCGAGGCCAAAGTTGAAGATGTAAAAAAGTTAGCTTTCAAATAATAGTCTCTGTAGTTTTTAGTTATTTTCTCATAATCTATGCAAGACAGTTATATGATTTAATGCATAAATTAAACACAAATATCCAGGGATTAAAATGAATCTATTATCATAATTGTAACTCTTCTTGATTTCTTGCAATTTAAGGTCAAAATTGAAGATGTTATAAATTAGATTGAGAAAATTTGCTTTTTTTTTCAATTGAGTTAATGAAATAATATATTTTAAAACTGTCTTATTTCCTTATTTGTATATGATCTAAACGGATTTTCAAATGTATTTCTTGTAAGATTCATAAATTTAAACCATTTTTTCCAACAACTTTCCTTAATAAATGCAAATGCATTCACGACTATAAATGCAACCAATTTAAAATCGATTATTCAAACTGCAACAATTTATTCACGCAAACGTTTCAAAGACAGGAGAGAGAAAAATATGTAAATAAAACAGAAATAAATTGTGCGCAAAGACAACAAACACATTGTTTGTTTTTCATATCTTTACAATAAATTATAGTTATTGTTATATAAAGTAAAGAAGTTTTCAATGATTTCGTGCATCCGATTGTTGGTTTAACGCACGAAAGAACACCAGAAAATTCTATTGTTTAATTGCATCTCGTTAGTTCGGCCTGATTTCGAAATTAACAAACTGAAAGAGAATGAATGAGAAAAAAACAACATAAACTTCTTAGTAATTATCAGGGTTAAAAGTCTATAATGTTTGTAAATTTATGAATAATTGAAGAAGTATATTGAACACAAATATTCAGGGAATAAAATGAGTCTATTATCATAATTGTAACTCTTCTGAATTCCTTGTATTTCGAGGTCAAAGTTTAGTTTTTTTTTTAGTGTTTCTCTCGAAATCTACGCAATTAAACACAAATATTGATGGAATAAAATGATCATAATTGTAATTGTTATGATTTCGTTCATCCGATTGTTAGTTTAACGCACGAAAGAACATCAGCAAATTGATTTTTAAAAAAATAAATAAAAAACTTTAATTAACTTCTTAGTTATTTCGACCTGATTTCGAAATTAACAAACTGAAGAGAATGAAAGATATAACAATTAGCGGGTTTAAAAGTCTGTAAAGTTTTCGAACAAATTCCTGTATGCAAACGCAATAAAAACCAATCTAATCAAACGATAATTACGTCTCGCCCATAAATGTATACGTGTTCGTTTTTTCTTTGCAAGTAATTGAAGAAATATGTAATTACCAGTTTCGTAAGAACATTGTTGCGTTTCGATATTTGGTAACCAATTAATTTAATAAATAAAACTTTTTGTATACAATGAATGAACTTATACATTTTCCATTTTATTCAATAACGTTTTGCCATCTTTCTGGTAACTTCGTGATTCCACGTTCATAAAACTTCTGGTCTTTATAAGCAAAATTAAACTGAATCAAACGCGATTTCAGATCATCGGAATTAATGAAAGTTTTAAAAATCAAAGAGTTTTGTAAACTTCGAACTAAATGGTAATCTGATGGTGCCTTATGCGAGATGTGAGATCACTTTCCAATCAAGATTCAATAATTTTCTACGAGTTACCAAAGATTTGCATTGTTTTGCCATTTCTGACCAATTTTCTTTGATTGCTTCCTCAAGTTTCTTTAGTTGTTGACAGTAAATTGATCGATTAATTACACAACAGCTTTATAATTCTATCAAATTCACCTTTCGGTTGGTTCATCAAGTTTGAATTTGTTATAAAGTAAGTTTTGAAAAAGTAGTGTCATTAGTTTTTAGTGATTTTCTCATAATCTATGCAAGACAGTTATATGATTTAATGCATAAATTAAACCTAAATCTTCAATGATTAAAATGAGTGTATTATCATAATTGTAACTCTTGTGGATTTCTTGTAATTCGAGGTCAAAGTTGAAGATGTATTAAAGTAAGTATTGAAAAAGTAGTCTCTGTAGTTTTTAGTGATTTTCTCATAATCTATGCAAAACAATTATATGATTTAATGCATAAATTAAACCTAAATCTTCAGAGAATAAAATGAGTATATTATCATAATTGTAACTCTTCTGGATTTCTTGTAATTCAAAGTAAAAGTTGAAGATGTAATAAAGTGAGCTTTGAAAAAGTAGTCTCTGTAGTTCTTAGTGATTTTCTCATAATCTATGCAACACAGTTATATAATTTAATGCATAAATTAAACATAAATATCCAGGGAATAAAATGAGTCTATTATCATAATTCTAACTCTTCTGGATTTCTTGTAATTCGAGGTCAAAGTTGAAGATGTTATAAAGTAAGCTTTGAAAAAGTAGTCTCTGCAGTTTTTAGTGATTTTCTCATAATCTATGCAAAACAGTTATATGATTTAATGCATAAATTAAACCCAACTCTTCAGAGAATAAAATGAGTCTATTATCATAATTGTAACTCTTCTGGATTTCTTGTAATTCGAGGTCAAAGTTGAAGATGTAATAAAATTAGCTTTAAAAAAGTAGTCTCTGTAGTTTTTAGTGATTTTCTCATAATCTATGCAACACAATTATATAATTTAATGCATAACTTAAACTCAAATGTCCAAGGAATAAAATGAGTCTATTTTCATAATTGTAAGCCTTCTGGATTTCTTGTAATTCGAGGTCAAAGTTGAAGATGTTATAAAGTAAGCGTTGAAAAAGTAGTCTCCGCGGTTTTTAGTGATTTTCTCATAATCTATGCAAGATAGTTATATGATTTAATAGATAAATTAAACCCAAATATCCAGGGAATAAAATGAGTCTATTTTTATAATTGTAAGTCTTCTGGATTTCTTGTAAATAGAGGTCAAATTTGAAGATGTAATAAAGTAAGCTTTGTTAAAGTAGTAAATTGACCAAAACGTTGTGTAACTTTCAATGAAACATCTATCTATCATCATTATAATAGCTGGCTTTGGATTCTAGCAAAGAAGTGAAATATGTCGAAAATATTCGTTTGTTTTTTTTTTGTTAAAATTGACCCTAAACAAACGAGATTATGACTTCCAAAAGTGACATCTTTCAAATGACAGAAGCGCTTCAAAACAAAGTTAACGCTATCTATTTGTGTAAACCGAAATTACTTTCTTGCCAACCCAATAACTAAAAAGGGCTGCGAACTTTGGTTTGCTGATGCCGGAATAAACTTTGGAGGAGGATAATTGGCCGCACGCGATTATTAATTTTCTTGGGCTTCGGTCCCGATCTCCGGTGGCAACAGGCAGGCAAGCAAGAGCAACCCTTCAGCGGTCAGTTTAATTATGGGTTTCTCTTCTCGGTCGGCCGCCCTTTGATTTCCTTCCACTCCCCCAAGAAGAAACAAGGTTTCTCTCACTCACTCACTCTTGAACGAGTAATAATATTATCATCAGCAGTAACGTACGCTCCCTTGCATCAAACGACTGCTGCTGGCCCTTTGTGTTGCGAGCCCTCTCGAGGTGATGTTGTTAATTGGTTTTTGGGTTGGTACACATGATTGTTAATAGGCGAAACTTTGCTGCTCACTTCATGATATCGATACGATGATTATAGTAAAATCAAACATTCTTATATAATTTTTTTTTTGTTTATATATATATATATAAATATTATATACTTGATACTTGTATATACACAGTTAATAATAAATAATTAATTAATAATTTACAAAGGGCAACTATATAACGAGAGGAAACAGAGATATTTTGACTCGTTGGACGGAGAAGAGATCAGATCTTACTTGGACCACTCGGAGGGACGAAACCGTAACCGGAAGCTCCGACGACGACGCCGGAAGTCTCGCCGTTCGCTTGCGGTGCGGCGGGAAAGACGACCGGACCGGTGTTGGCTCTCGCGTCTCTTTGATTCACCACTGGAGCGGCATCAGCGAATCCACCGCCGAAGTGTCCTCCGAAGTCTCCGAATCCGAACTGGGCTCTGGCCAAAGCCAGAAGGGCGAAAAGTACGACCACGATCTGGAAAAAAAGTTTTCAAAATTAGAAAGAGCATTTTAAACATCTAATGCATGGAGCTAGAGCTACACGAACAACAAGAAAACGCTTCACGGTCTGATTGTTGTCGGCATAATAAATTATTTGCCAATCGCGCACAAACATATACACGACGCGTGCATAATACACACACACACGCTTTGGATTTATTTCAAATTTCTGCTGGATTTTGCGTAAGAGAGATTTACTCCTTTTTCGACCTTGCGCTCCAAGGTTTTCCAGGCATTCCTTTTTGGGGGGTGGCTCGAACACGCTTTTCAATCCATCCGCTTTCCAATCGTTTAAAAGCAAACGATTTTCAACGTTACCTCATCATTACGCAACGGTCGCGTGTCCTCTCCTCCTCCTTCTTCAGAAACACAATCATTTCCAGCAACGATCGCTCATTTTCTTCTCTCTTAATTCATCCATTACGCAACGACTCAAACTATTTCACACTTAGTTCAACAAATAGGTAAAATCTCAAGCAAAAACAAACTTCTACTGCTTGAAATTAAGCAACGATTCCAAGGAATTTCAAGTAAACATTACAATTTCAAATTAATCTTTAACAATTTGCAAAAACACTGCAGCA